TGTTTCTGAATCAGTGTTTTTGTGTTTTAGGATAGATACCACGGCGTGGAGTCACCGAAACATATGAATGAGCCATTTTTTAATGTTTTGAGAGGTCTCCTTCCTGTTGTCCATTGAGGCAGAACCGGTTTCTAATCCCACGGTGTGAATGGGGGTTATCATCACACTCCCCGGCCCCTCCCCCCACACACACGCACTGGTTTCTTTCTTTCCGTTGTTTTAGAACGTTGGCCATCTTCATCTGTGTGAGATGCCATCTCGTTGTCGTTTTGACCTGCATTCCTCTGATAATTCGCGGTGATGAGCACTTTCCCCCAAGCCTGCTGAAAGTTGAGCTCTACCCGCTTGTTAAGACTGTTAGTTTTCTTTTAAAACAGATGATCTAGGGGGCTGGAGCAATAGCACAGCGGGTAGGGCGTTTGCCTTGCACGCGGCCAACCCGGGTTCAATTCCCAGCATCCCATATGGTCCCCTGAGCACCGCCAGGGGTAGTTCCTGAGCGCAGAGCCAGGAGTAACCCCTGTGCATTGCCGGGTGTGACCCCCCCCCCAAAAAAAAGCAGATGATCTAAGCTCATGGTCCCCATGGACACAATGCAGTGCTGCAAACACCCTTTTCTTTGTTGCATGGGCTCCCAGGGGGCCTCGGGAGGCTCAGGGGGCCTTGGGTGACCTCAGCTCACTGGCAGGGGAGTTGCTGTGTGAGGGTACAGGCTGCTGGGCCTGAGGCGTGGGTCCCCCCAACCTCCACTGGCCATGCTTGGGGGTCACCAATGCGCTGCACCGAGCACTGCTCATAGGAGCACTGTGATATCGATCCACAGGGTCAGCCACATGCGGGCTTGTGCCCTAACTATGTCTCTAGTTTCTGTAAATAGATTTTTCTCTTATGCTTTTCTTAACCTTTTGATTTTTTTTTTAGCTTACATTATTTTAAGAGTACAGTCTTTGATACACATAGAGAATGTGCTTTTTTGGGGGAGTGGGGGGGTGGGGAGCAGGGAGGGGTTACATCCTGCTTTGCTCAGAGCTTACTCCTGACTCTGTTCGGGGATTACTTCTGACAGGCTTGGGGGATCATATGAGGTTCAGGGAATCATACCCGAGTTGGCTGTGTGCAAGGCAAATGCTACAGCCACTCGACTATCACTTTGGCCCAATCCTATTAATCTCTTAAAGGGAAAAACCCAACCAAAGTGAACAATTAAGGTGAAGTAAATCTTACCCAAAGAATAACAGGCAGGGAATGAGCCACGTGTCTATGCACAGCGTGAGTGATACAAAAGTTCTCTAATTGTTTTCTTGTGTTGTGACAGGGCTTCGTCTTGGAGCGTGTGACTAAAGCCATCATTGCTTCTGGAAGTTCTATGTGAGTATTGTATAATGGCTGATCCTCCGGAGTATTTCTGTCCTTTTTCTTCTCAGACACAGAGAGACGAGGGTCACTTAGCCAGCTGCCATTATTTTCAGCTTTGAGGGACATACCCAAGATCGTAGGATGGGCATCTTGGCTTGTAACATTTTAGCACACCTTGGGACCCGATAGATGGAGAGTCATAAGAGCACAGGGACAGGGAATGACCTGCCCGTGGCTCAGTGATGGACACGTCCAGAAGATATGCAAGGCCCTGGGTTCGGTCCCTAACACAGAAAACAAGTTACAATCATAATACAAGGAAATTAAATCGAGGCTTATTTACATTAGAGCTTTTATTTCTTTGTTGTGAGGTCACACCTGCCAGTGCTCAGGGATCATTCCTGACAGTGCTCGGGGAACTTGTGTGGTGCTAGGCATTGAAAAGGGGTCAGCCATGTGCAAAGCAAGTGCCTTAATCTCTGCACTCTCTCTTTGGCCCACTTTGCTGCTTTGAAATTGCAGCTTTCTTCCTGAATATCTAACAGGTTCGAACTTACTGTGTTACAGTTCTATCAGTTTTATCTATTTCCACGTTATGAAATGGGAGCGTAGATGCTATCAGAAAATTTTATTCAGAAGCATGGCATCTAGAAATGTTTTCAAAGTACGGTTGGGGCCAGGGAGATAGTACACCAGGGAAGGCACTTGCCTTGCATGCAGCCAACCAGGGTTCAATTCCCAGCAACCTCATCAGGACCGATTCCTGAGCACAGAGCCAGAAGTAAGTCCTGGGCACAGCCAGGTGTGGTCTAGAAAAATAAAAGAATTATGTGAGTGGTGAGTTGAGTTTCTGCATGATTTCTCTTCTAAAATACTAGGAGGAAGTTCCCTTCACATCTGTACGGACTCCAGTTGAGCATTTTGTAAGAAATTCCTTTTGTCCACTTGGGGCACCCAACAGAGGCAGGGAAATTCCATATGAAAGTTATTTCATGAGGAATCGACATGACACGGAGCCAGCCATTCCCCTGACGTCTCCATTGTGCCCAGTTTCTCAGCCATGAAAACAGGGAACATACCCTCGGAAGCTTCTGGGTAGGACTCTTGTGTGAAATAGAGGGAATTTTTATAAAATGCCGGAGCACAAAGGAGAGCACTGAGCGAATGGGAAACGTCCTGGTGCCTTGTTTGTTTCTGATCGCCATTTCCATGGTTCCAATCATGGTTCCGATCACTGTTTCCACCGGGAAGAATGGCGCGGCTGGTCTTCACTGAGACAGGGGGTCAAAACGTACGTTGAGAACTGGTGTTCCCACGCAATGAGACACAGGGGAACGGGAGTGTGGGATGGTCTCATCTGAAAGATGCTTCTGGCCGGGAAGGCACGGTGCTAATGACCTGGGTTCAAGTCTCGGAACTCATGCTTATTTGCACCCCGCTAGAAGTGAGCTCTGAGCACAGAGCCAGGAGTGAGCCCTGAGCACAATGGGTGAAGCCCAAGAACAAAAAAGGAAAAAAAGAAGAAAAAAAGAAAAAGAAAAAAGGCAAGAGCAGGGACCGGAAAGTTGAGTTGTGGGCAGAGCGTTTGCTCGAACTCAGTGAAACGTCCCAGACTGGTGTTCCCATGTACAGACTCTTATATACTCCCGAGCAGGGACGCTCCGTGGTGAAGCCTTTCCCTTGAGAGGGGGCGTAGGCGGGTCACCTGCCCCATGGAAGCACTTAGGTGTGCTTGGGGGCGCCTTCCCTGGGGACAGCGGCGTCAAGCTCGTGGGTTTCCCTTGAGGTCCAGTGAGCTCCAAGTTCGTAAGAAAGGTGAAGGCGCTCTTTCCCCTTCCTCCCCTGCCCCTGCATCCGACCTCGGGACGCCGTGTGAGAGTGTGAGGGCCCATCTCTTCCTCAGCAGGAGCTGTCCCCCAGCCTTGAGCCCATAGTGTGATCTGGGGAGCTTGTTGAGTCATCCCGGGTTCCTAACGTGTGGCTGTGCTCTGAGGTGTCAGTAGCTCTCTGGCCACTGTGCCTGATGGTCTGTCTGTGTGATCACTCAAATCCAGAGTGAACACGCAAGACGGTGTAATGGTACGCTCTGGGGCAGTGTCATGCTCGCAGTCTGCTGTTGGCTGAATTGTCATCGAGCGCTGAAATGCCTGAAAACCGACACGCCTACGTACACGGCCCCAGAGCAGACATCACGGTTCTCAGCTTCTCAATCACGTCCTGGGAAGTGCGGATGTAAGTCCTCTGCCCCACCCAGGGATTGGCCGCCCATGACCAGGAGAGGCAGGCCCAGAACCAAAGGACGATCCGGCCTGGTCTCCCCCAGGACCACGTGATCTGAGCACACACCAGAGTGTCGAGGCGGGAGCTGGTCGAGGGAAACTCGGGGCGGGGGGGGGGGGAAGGGAAATGAACATTTTCTATCTAGAGGAGAGTTCGAACAGAAATGCCCAAAGGATGGAGAAAGAAGAGAAACAAAACACAGACACACCCAGTAATCTTCCAATTTTTTTTTTTTTACTTGATGGGTTCTTTCCACTCAGCACGGGCACGTTAGGCAGGATGCAGAATAAACGGTGACAGGTGTTCGGATGGAGGAAGCTCTCCGTGGAGCGCACGTACCTTGGCTGCTGACGCCAGATGACAAGATTCTGTGTCTGCGATGAAGGCACTTGTGAATGGAGAATTTTGAGTATTTTGGAATATGGAAAATGTTCCCATGGAGAGGAAGTTAAAATTTAGGGGGGAAGGAGAATGTTTTCTTGTTCCCCCGTGACAGCTGAGGTCTAGCCAACACTAACAGAGTGAAAGACTACTGGCTCCTGCTGAAGTTACTTGAAATAACTGCTCAGACATCAGAAAGTGTGTTCGGGCCTCAGGGCCGCATCAGGGCACCAGGGCCCTCAATTTTCCAATCTGAAATTGTTCAAAAGTCGAACTTCTGTTGACGCGCTCTTTATCCTAAGTAACTCTGTGGAATCACGGTTCATCCCCCACGACCCTTGGTGTTCATTTTTCATCTTGAAAAAAAAAATAAAAAGAAAGAAACCTGAAAACATTAAACACAAGTAAAAATCTTGAGATGTTATTATCCAGGTATATTAAAATAAAACCAGAAACTAGAAATATTAGTATATACACGACAGCGTTAAGTGACAGAACATTTTGCATTCGAAGTCTACAGTAGAAAAACCCAGTCAGCCGAATCTCTTGTCTCTGTGCTCGTGACTTATGCGCCTTATCATTCCTTCCTATCCATGTATAAATAGTCTCACGAAAATGGGCATCGCATCTTACAACAATTTCGAAAAGGATGCTGAACCAAAAAATAGTTCCGAAGACTGGCACTTTTACTTTCAAGCGTAGAACTAAAATTAACACAGGACCCTTAACACAGTGTCCAAATCATCTGAATCGAGAAGAGAATTCTTAGGCTGGGGAGGACCCTACGTGTCTCCTGGAACGACAGCGTCCAAAGAAAACGTCTCTGCAGACGGGATCGTGAGATGGAGAAGCATCGGAATCGGCTCTTCTCAAGGGCGGCAGCGTCTGGTGTCTGTTCTCTCTGCGGGAGTTTAAGGGAGGGCGTCCTCGTGGGCAGGGGTGGCAGTGGGCACGTCACCGAGAATGCGGAGGCCGAGGCTGGGGGCCCGAGCTGTGTCCACGGAAGGAAGAAGCTGGCGGTCTCTGATTCTGGATCAATCGCCAGGATCCAGAAAACACTTTATGGGGTTGACTTTGTTTTATTTAAGCATCTGTTTCACCTGCAAGCGCTAACAGGTCAGGTTAGTAACTTTCTAAACGGATCAGCCAAAGCACAGAGAAAAATCAGAGAAATGTCCTTGAGGGCATCTGCTTAAGAAACGAGTGTCCTTCCGTGGCTGCTGGGCCCTGGGCGGGCTGACCGCAGGACCTGGGCTCGCACCCCGGTTGTAAACACGAGCCAGCCAAGGGCATGGGGCAGAGGTTCTCGCCTACGAAGGTGGGGTCTGACTGTCGGCACAGCGAGGCAGGCGGGCGCCGGCGGGCAGGGCAGGGACCGAGTTCCCGGGAGGCAGGGCCGGCCCCTGAGCGGGGACCACCTAGGGCTCTAGGGCTGTTGCTGGTATTGGCCCTCGGTGGCCGTGTAGAAGTCGTCGAGGACGCTCTGCAGGTAGTCGAAGGTGGGCCGCTCCTCCGCCTTCTCCTTCCAGCACATCTTCATGATGTCGTACAGCTCGTCGGGGCAGTTGTCCATGCGCGGCATGCGGTAGCCCTGCGACAGGGCGGTCATCACGTCCGCGTTGGTCCTCCCTGGGAAGCAGACCCGAGACGTTAGACCCACCCGGGGCTCAGCGAGGCGCCCCCTGCATCGTCCCCGAACCCCGAGCCTCAGGAAACCACTGTCTCTAGCTGTTAGGGCGTTCGAGAGAACGCATCACTTCCATCCCTCTGTACCCGTAGGGGAAGGGAGGATGCAGATGAACAATGGATGCGACAGAGGACAAAGTCGTCCGAGGTCTCGGGGAGGCCTCAGGAGATACCAGGGCTGCCGACGCCCCAGCTCACGCTCTGACCTCCCCAACGGTGAGAAAATGGATCTCTCCATTTTCTGTGCTGTTTATAGCAACCCCAAAGAACCGATGTGGTTCCAGCACTGCAAGCGGGCTGCCAAGCCCTGCCAGGAGTGAGCCCTAAGCACAGAGCTGGGAGTGAGCCCTGAGCACAGAGCCAGGAGTGATCTTTGAGCACAGAGCAGGAGTAAGCCCTGTGCCAGGAGTGTTCCCAAAACAGACAACCCCTTTCTCCCCCAAAAAGAAAATAATTGATTTTGGGGGTGTGGGTTTTGTGGGGCAGTCTCCTGGAAGATGTGGGGTTGGAATAATGCATGAATCGAAAGCTTACTGTCAATAGCATTGTAAGTTACAGTGCCAAGAAGAAAAGAAAAGAAAAAGAAAAGCGGAGATGCTGGTACGCTTAATGCTAATTTATAACGATGAAGAGAACAAATGAACGTGCATGTGCACAGAGGAGTCGGTGCGCGTCTGTGGAGTGTGAGCCCAAGTGTGTTCTGCCTCTCTCCTTCCTGGTTCATGGCCGGGCAATGTCTGCTCCTCTGCCTGGGCCTCACCTTCCCCACGGGACCCGGGCCTCAGGGGCCTGACCCAGTCATAGCTCTGAAAGACAACTCAGCAGAGCTCAGCTCCTGCCTTGAAGGAGCACCAGCTTTTGATTTGTTTTCTTTTTTGTTTGTTTTTGCTTTTCTGGGTCACACCTGGCGATGCTCAAGGGTCACTCCTGGCTCTGCACTCAGGAATTACTCCTGGCGGTGCTCAGGGGACCATAGGGGATGCTGGGAATCGAACCCAGGTCGGCCACGTGCAAGGCAAATGCCCTACCCGCTGTGCTATTGCTCTAGCCCCAGCGCCAGCCTCTGAAACGGAAAGGTTCAAATAGACCTTGTTAGGGTCTCTCCAGCGTTGTTTACGTGGCGAACTCACTTGGCTCCTGTCTGCTTCTGAAACCCATCTTCAAATATTTGTGTAGGTGGAATGTTCTAAGCAGAAGATTTCATTTGCCCTAATGGCTCCTAGCCACGGGTCTGACTTGCATCCCGTTTCCTGCTCTGAATAAGATCATGTCGCTTCAGTTCTGGCCTGGGTTTTGGGATCAGCCAAGCCCCCTTGTTCCTCCCGACCTGGACCAAGGGCACAGGTCTGAGGTCTTCGTGGACAAGGAGTCCACTGCATGCCTAAAGCTGCAGTGAGGCCTACTTGTGGGACCACGGTGGAAGCACATCTCTCCCTTCCTTCCTGGCGACTCCCGAGAGTCACACAGGCTTGATGCAGACGTTCCTTCCTCATTCCTCCGTGTTCCCCCAACTCTCCCAGCTCTGCAGAGCACCTCAGGGTAAAAGCTAGGTGGCTTCCTGCTGCAGGAAGTCTGTCCCTCCAGGGGCAGGTAGACACGCCGGGCAGAAGGAGCCTTGTGGAAGGAAGGGCGGAGGGTTTGCCTCAGCGGACAGGGGTGTCGCTGGGTTCTGACAGCTCAGGACGCAAAGCGTCTGAGGCTGCCCGTCAGTTTCCATTTGTGCTTGGCTGTGCCCTTCCGTGGCTGCTGAGCTGGCACTAGTCCAGACATGGAGGTGATGGAGACCGAGCTCTGTCCCGCGACACACAGACCAGAGAGGAGGACCCCTCAGGAGGGTAGGGGGTGGGCAACAGGAAGGGACACCGGAACAGCGCACAAGTCTAGATGACAGACACAACCGGGAACAGCAGACACGGAAGAGGAAGGGGAGCGATCGGCAGCAGATGGAAATCTGCGGTTGTAGAAACCGTGATGGTCTTGAACGTGTGCACACGCAAATGAGCACGCGTGAGTCTCTGTGCAAAAAACATGCCTGGGTGCGTATGTGCTATGTAAACACACATGTGCGTCGCGTGTAAGCGTGTCTGTACGTACATGTGCATGTGTCTCGCTGTGCATGTGCGTGTGTTTGTGTGTAGAATTACCCAGGACCACAGTCCCCTGCTGGTCATTACTCTCCAAAGACAGACTATTGTCTTCCCCAAGCGTCACCGTGGCCAGCACAAGCCTCCAAGCTGGATGTGTCCACGCCTCCTGACTCTGATGCATGGTACAAAACTGCTGGTCTGATCGGATCGCAAACAGCCCAGAAGACACAACACCTCAGGAAACATGCCATTTCGAACATCCTTTCTCTGTTAAGTGCAAACACACACACACACACACACACACACCTGAAAAAATCCCAATAACCCCCATGCACAAAACATTCTCTTTTTTCTTTAAAAACAACAACAAAATAAAACTACACTTTGTCACTGAAAAACAAAAAGAAATAATGTCTGCATCTGTATGATATCTGTATCGGCATCTCACTGTGATTCAATTAAAAAATACATTAATTAAAAAAAATTTAAACAACAGATAAATATTCTAGTTTGGGGGTCAGAGAGATAATACAGCGGGTAAGGTACCTGCCTTGCATGAGGCCAACCAGGGTTTAATTCCTGGCATCCCATGTGGTCCCCCAAACATTGAAAGGAATAATTTCTGAGTGCAGAGCCAGGAGTAACCTAGAAGTACTTCTTGGTGTGGCCAAAAAACCCCAAAATTATTCTAGGGTTATTTTGAGAGTGAAATGAAGCTCTTTTATTAGCCCCCATTTCTGCTTTATATTTTTTCTTTTGGGGTCACTCCTGGTGATGCTCAGGGGTTATTCCTGGCTCTGAGCTCAGGAATTACTCCTGGCGGTGTTTGGGGGTTCACACTGGATGCTGGGAATGAAACCCGGGTCGGCCTCGTGCAGGGCCAATGCCCTCCCAGCTGGACTGTCACTCGGGCCGCAGCCCTGCTCTGAGTCAAAAGCATGACCCTGGGCTCATCTCTGACAGAGCCTCGAGCTCCCTCCTCAGCAAAGAAAGGAGGGGCGTGATCTGGGAGGGGGCGGAAACTCCAGGCTCTGTGGCCAGGGCGCTGCCCGCAGGAGGCCTGGTGAAGTCCTGCCCCGGGAAGTCCTGAGGAGAGAAACTGCTGGGGGCAGCAGGCCCAGCAGAGGGGGGCGGGGTGGGGAGAAGCGCGGGCAGAGACGGGAAACGGAGGGCAGAGGCTGAGGAGACACTCCTGAACACCCAGGCCACAGTCCAAGGAAGTTCCAGAACATCCTGTGGACACCAAGGGAGCGACTCCACACCATTCCACGTCGAGGTGGCAGCGGAGTTGAGTTTGTGGAGATAAAACGGGGAAGAGACTTCAGGGGTCTGGGGAGTGGGGGTGGAATGGCAAGGGTGAGTCTCTCACCCACTCAGCACATCCTCATGTTGCTCCATGCCTGGAGGCCTGCCTCATGGGCGGGGGGAGAAGGCAGCTGGGATGGAGAAGGGATCACCGGGATCACTAAGTCAATGAGGGTTGGGGGGATCGCTCGGGGTGGGAGATGTGTGCTGAAAGTAGAGAAGGGACCAAACGTGACGGCCTCTCGGTATCTGTATTGCAAACCACAGTGCCCAAAAGTAGAGTATGGGGGAGAGAGGAAGAGAGAGAGAGAGAGAGAGAGAGAGAGAGAGAGAGAGAGAGAGAGAGAGAGAGACAGAGAGAGAGAAAGAGAGAGAGAGAGAGATGGAGGCAGGGGGAGGGTTGGGTTGGGGGTTATACTGGGGACATTGGCGGTGGGGAATGTGCACTGGTGGAAGGATGGGTGTTCGATCGTTGTATGGCTGAAACTCAAACATGAAAGCTTTGTAACTGCATCTCATGGTGATGCAATTAAAAAAAAAAACAAAACAACAACAACAAAAAAAACACCACTCAGCAAATCCTCCCTGAGGCCTGTGTCACATCCCCAGGTGCCGCCAGTCTCCTGCCGACTGGGTTTCTGACAGGGCCCGTGTCCCCAGCCTTGCTCCCATGGGCCCCTGGCCGGTGCTGTCCCCTACACTGCACATTTCACCTGCCCATGGGGCCGTGCACGTCACCCATCATGGGCTGCTCCCCACTGCAAGGCAGCTTCCGGGCAGGGCTTGGGGCTGCCCCTCCCGACGGCCACCCTGACCGGGACTGCACCCTTGGGTACTGTCTTGATTATGGGGATGGCGTGGACACGGGAAACTTGGTTTGAAAATCACCTTCCCCAGCGATGAACAAACCCAGCCTGCACAGAAGGCGGCGGAAAGAGGCCGGGCAGAGTGCAGCCAGGAGGGCTCTGGGCATCTGAGAACCGGGGTAGCACGCGGTCACCCCAGACACTGAGCGCTTTGGAGGGCTGATGAGAGACAGACGCGGTTCGTCCCTGGGTGGAAGGTTCCAGAGCACTGCACGCAAACCTTTGTCTCAAAACGCATCATCCCAAAGCCTCGCCACTCCCCACGTCTAGGTGTTTCCTAACTGCACCGGCAAAGCATGAGTCCCTCTGCAAACCCCCGTGTCGCTCACTGCACAATACTGCGATGACGGCAAGTGTGTTCTAGCATTCGAAGGAAGTGACGGAAATAATCAGTGAAGAAAAAGAGTAAGCACGCAGTCAAACAAGAGGCAGAGAAGGTCTTAGAATTTCTTTCCAAGAAGGATCAAAATCAAGCTGTGACCACTTAGTAGCTCAATAGGTCTGTTTTTTTTTTTGGTCTCCTGCATTTGTGTTGTTGTTGCTTTTGGGTCACACCTGGCGATGCTCGGGGGTCTGGCCCTCGGGAATCACTCCTGGAGGTGCTCAGGGCACCACACGGGATGCTGGGAATTGAACCCAGGTCTGCCACGGTCAAGACAAGTGCCCTCCCTGTGGGCCGCTCTCTCCATCACGGCCTCCTGCGATTTCACTGCTCCCCGCCTCCCCTCCGTTTATCACTGGACTGGAAATCGGTAAGTAGACAGTACCTGGGTAGGGAATTTTCCCGTAGGTGACGATTTCGTAGAGGAGAATGCCAAAGGACCACACGTCGGACTTAATGGTGAAACAGCCGAAGTTGATGGCTTCTGGAGCTGTCCACTTGATGGGGAATTTAGCACCTAGGGGAGAGACAGGAGCCTTACTTGAGTGTCTGAGCCGAAACAAAAGCCGGTGGGCGCAGGGACCCTCCGCAGCAGTCGCCATCTCAAAGAGGCACCGGAGACACAGCACAAAACAGGGCCCAGAGTGTGCCGAGAGGCTGGTCCCCCTGGGGTTCCCTTTGGGGTATTCTCTTGAGATGCAGCGTCTGCGCCATCCTTCCAGAAAAGCCCTCTTGAACTCCCTTAGACACACGGGAGAGAGAGAGACACACGACAGAGTCCAGGCCCTTATTCTCAGCTCGCGTGTCGGTCTCTCTATGTCAGTCCCTAACACACTGCAATTACTGATATTCAGATTTTTCCTAATAAACCCATACTATGTTCATGGGGAATAAAAATAGCTCTGGATGCATATATTCTTTTTTTTGGAGGGGGCGTCACACCCAGCAGAGCCTGGGCTTACTGGCTCTGTGCTCAGGGGACTTGGGTGACCATCTGAGGTGCTGGACTGTGTGCAAAACAAGGGACTTACTTCCTGGGCTCTCTCTGCGGCCCAGATATGTGCTTTGAAGACTCCTCCTGGCCCTTGGCGATCCTTCTCCCCCCTGCGCTCTCTCTTTCTCTTCTTTCTTTCTTTCTTTCTTTCTTTCTTTCTTTCTTTCTTTCCTTCTTTCTCTTCCCGTCTCCCCCCTCCCTCCCTCCCTCCCTCCCTCCCTTCCTCTTTTTCTCTCTCTCTTTCTGCCACACCCAGGGATGCTCAAAGGTGACTCCTGGCTCTGCACCCAGGAATTACTCCTGGCGGTGCTCAGGGGACCATATGGGATGCCGGGGATCAAACCCAGGTCGGCTGAGTGCAAGGCAAATGCCCCACCTGCTGTACTACTGCTCTGGCCCCTGACAGTCTTCTTGAAGCCCAATACTAGGCATGGGGCCTCGCTCTCCTGAGGAAACTGTGCTTGGACGTCGCAAACGGGGTTACTTCTCAACACTACGGGTTTCCAGCACTGCCGGGGGTACTCCCCGAGCACTGAGATGGAAGGAAAGGAATGGAAAAAAAAGTCACAGTAAAACCACATTTAAACAGACAAGTCCGGTCCGCTTTGGGGTTATTCTACCAAAGGGATTCTTCTCGGATGCAAGGGACTCATCAGTTCTCTCAGCGAGGGCTCGGGCTGCTTTGGGACCGCTGGCCGGGACCCACCTTCTCTGGCTGTGTACTCGTTGTCCTCGATCACCCGAGCCAGGCCGAAGTCAGCGATCTTACATATCAGCGAGTCGGAAACCAGGACGTTGGCTGCGCGCAGGTCTCGGTGGATGTAGTTCTTCCGCTCGATGTAGGCCATTCCCTCGGCGATCTGAAACAGAGCCCGCTCTGGTCAGCATTCGGGGGAGAGTGGCAGAGCGCCCGCAAGGGATGCTGGCGAACGCGTCCTGGCCCGAGGGCCTGAGCCCGCAGATTCTGACCATTTGATTTTCAAATGTGGAGAGTAAACGTTGAGATGACACCCCCCTCCCCAACTCCAATACTGGAAATCACTTCTCAACAAGTTCTTTTTTTTTTTTTGAGACAGAGAGAGAGAGAGTGAGAAAGAGAGAGAGAGGGAGGGAGGGAGGGACGGAAGGAGGGAGAGAGAGAGGGAGGGAAAAAGAGGGAGGGAGGGAGGAAGGGAGGGAAGGAGAGATGGTGGGAGAGGGAGGGAGAGGGAGGGAGGGAGGAAGGGAGAGAGAGAGGGAGGGAAGGAAGGAAGGAGGAAGAGGGGGAGGAAGGGAGGGAGGGAAGGAGAGAGGGAGGGGGAGGAAGGGAGGGAGGGAAGGAGGGAGCGAGAGAGGGAGGGTGGGAGAGAGAGGGAGGGAGGGAAGGAAGGAGAGAGGGAGAGGGGGAGGAAGGGAGGGAGGGAAGGAGGGAGCAAGAGAGGGAAGGTGGGAGAGAGAGGGAGGGAAGGAGAGAGGGAAGGATGGAAGGAGAGAGGGTGGGAGAGAGAGGGAGAGAGGGAAAGAGAGAAGGAGGGAGGAAAGGAGGGAGGGAAGGAGGGAGTGAGAGAGGGAGGGTGGAGGGAGGGGAAGGAGGGAGTGAGAGAGGGAGGGTGGAGGGAGGGGAAGGATGGAGTGAGAGAGGGACAGAGGAAAGGAAGGAGGGAGAGAGGGAGGGATCAAGGGAGGGAGGGAGGGAGGGAGGGAGGGAGAGAGGGAGGGATGGAAGGAGAGAGGGTGGGAGAGAGAGGGAGAGAGGGAAAGAGAAGGAGGGAGGGAAGGAGGGAGTGAGAGAGGGAGGGTGGGAAGGAAGGAGGGAGGGAGGCGAAGGAGGGAGTGAGAGAGGGACAGAGGGAAGGAAGGAGGGAGAGAGGGAGGGATCAAGGGAGGGAGGGAGGGAGGGAGGGAGGGAGGGAGAGCACAGGAGCAACAAGTCCTTCAGCAGCTTCGTGTCCTGTTCTTACATGAAGATGTGAATTCCCAGATTTTCAAGAGAAAGCGACAAGCCAGGACAAAGAAGTGACTGGGGTCTCCAGGAGAGTCCCTGGTCAGCCGTGACCGAGCGTCAGCCTCCAGAAAGAAGCAGCACGCCACATCCCGGGACCTGGGGCCCCAGGCCTGCCTCAAGCACAGTCACGAGATGGGGGGTCAGACAGAAGCCAACACTTCCTCCAATCACAGGGTGGGGTGGGGGTGGAAATGGCAGCTCACTGCTTTTTTTTTTTCCGTGTTTTGGATCACACCCGATGATGCACAGGGGTTCCTCCTGGCTCTGCACTCAGGAATGACTCCTGGCGGTGCTCGGGGGACCCTACGGGATGCTGGGCATCGAACCCGGGTCGGCCTCGTGCAAGGCAAACGCCCTACTCGCTGTGCTATCACTCCAGCCCCCCAACTTTGTCATTTCTGGGGGTGTTCCAGAGCCTCCGGGACGGGAGCACTGACTGCCCTGAGCCGAAGAAAGTGCTTTAGAGAACGTCCCGGTCTAACACAACCAGAGTAAGATGCTGCTCCGTTGCTGTATCTGCGACAGGAACGTGGCAAATGATCCTGGTGGACCCAGGGTCCGACCATCACAGTATCCTTCCCTACTTTGCCCTCCCCGTGCCACTGACCCCGCGGCTCACGTCAGTCAGGTGCCCAAGGAGCACTGCCTCAAGCAGAGACAGTCCGAGTTCAAAGACAAGAGTGGACGCGCCAATCGGATGCGATGCATCTTCTGCGACCGAGAACTACCTGTGGGCCCCGGAGCGGTGGGGGTGAGGCCGGGCCAGGCGAGACCCTCTGCCTGCTAGGGGAGGGGAGCCCCCTCCCTGGGGGCACCTCAACCCGCTTCCCTTCCACAGCGGTTTGGCCCACTGCAGCCTTGGACAAGAGTGCCCAAGTCCCCTGTCCATGCAGGTCATTCCCTCAGGCGAGTCTCAGAGCACGTCTGGGCTCCAGGACACAGCGGGGAAGGGGACCTGCCATCCACCTGGACCTCCACACTCCTCAGCACACCCAGGCTCTGGGTCTCTGCACCTGGCATCCCCCGGGGCCACTTCACTGACAGGTGGCCTCCTCTGACAGGCCTCTCCTGCCTCCTCTTCCTCCACCAGTGGGTCCTGTCCCACGTCCCTGCACCTCCGGTGTGGACCCACGGGGCCCAACAACAATGTGAATCCTTCGAGTGGCTCAGGGGGCGTGCGCCCCCATCTGGCACTCGCATAAAGCCTGCAACCAGATACAAACTAGGGAGGCAGTGGACGCTAGACGCAAACACAACTGAGGTGTGTCAGAGCAGCTGGCAGGTGCCATCAGAAACGGTACAGACCCTCCTCCAGAGATGAGGGTCAGTCACACAGCTGTTTAACTGCTGACACGGAAAAGGCCTCTGAGATCTGGCCATGGGGAACACCTCCCTCACTCTTGGTCACCGATTTTTTTTTTCTTTTTGGGTCACACCCAGTGATGCAGTGATGCACAGGGGTGACTCCTGGCTTTGCACTCGGGAATTACTCCTGGCAGTGCTCAGGGGACCATATGGGATGCTGGGAATCAAACCCAGGTCAGCCACGTGCAAGGCAAACGCCCTCCCCGCTGTGCTATCGCTCCGTCCGGCCCTTTGGTCACCGATTTTAATCCCCAGCTCCTTCGGACTCTTGGAACTTGTGAATGCTCCCGGCACACCCAGACCAAGTTCCATCTTTACACAAACCTGGATGCGTTTTTCAAGGCGACTCTCTGACATAATGACAGAGTTGCAATGGGCCCAGTTTACTTTGGCGCTCCTGGCCGTGTCTGAGTGCTTTTCGGAGTTCATATTTCAAACAATAATAATAGTATTGTACTCGCCGAGACCAGGATTCAAAACAAGTGCATCAGCCAAGCTGGACACACAATGGACACGGGGAGCAAAATTGTAGCTCTCTGCTATGACCTGCCATGGGATCACGAAGGACCGTGGCCCTGCTGGTTCGCTCACTCGTTCTTCCTCTCCCTGGGCTGCTCCTTTATTTTTTTTTATTTTTATATATATATTTTTGCTTTTTGGGTCACACCCGGCGATGCTCAGGGGTTACTCCTGGCTTTGCACTCAGGAATCACTCCTGGCGGTGCTCACGGGGACCATATGGGATGCTGGGAATCGAACCCGGGTTGGCTGCGTGCATGCAGGACAAATGCCCTACCCGCTGTGCTATTGCTCCAGCCCCTGGGCTGCTCCTTTAAACAAGAAAACCCTCCTCTCCCGCTGCCCCCAATTGTTGTGTTTACTTTGGCTAAAGCAAACCCAGCTGCATTTCACAACAGCAGGAAGGAATCAGAGGCCGCTGCGCTAACGAATCCAGGATCAAGTTGTCTTCCACGGAACAGTCTCTCCTTTCCCGCGACCACCCCTGGCGGTCGGCAGCAGCGAGAAAGGGCTGTCACATAGCGCACATGCCAAGACTCAGAAGGGCTTCCTCTGCGCCCGCAGCGTCTTCAGAAGGCCCCGCTGGGGAAGGAGTTAATGGAGCAGCTCAAATCTGGCGGACCCAGCAAACTGCTTTGTGGCAAGGATATTTTGCTACACCTGTAGGTGACTGTAGGTTGCTAGGGGAGCGGGTGGGTGTTCATAGCATCACTCGGCGAACGTTTACTCTCTAGCTGGCACCGTTTGACTTTCTTCTTGTTTCTATGGGCTAACGAGCCAACCAGGTAAAAGTGTTCCCCATTTCCGTGATACAGACATACAACGAGGCTCAGAGAAGTTCAAGGACCTGGTGAAAAGCCGCCCCAGAGAGAAGCAGGGTTCACACCGAGTTGGGTCTCGACACTGAGCGTCAAGAGAGCTTAGAACCGACCAGATAACTAGTTGCTTCTAGAACTTACTTCCCATTGAGAAAAGGCCTTCTTTCCTGAGAAGACAGAGATAGACTTCTGAAGTTTCCTCTCATGATATCTGGAAGAGCAAGTCTCTGCTCAAACACTCCTGGCTAGAATTCCAGACAACCACCCAGGAAGTACAGAAAAGCTTAGTTTGTCTAGAACGTTTCCTCAGCTCTGCCCTGCAACCCCATTTGGAAAAATTATGATTCAATTTAAATGAGTGAATTTCGGGGCTGGAGAGACAGCACAGTGTGTAGGGCATTTGCCTTGCACGTGGCCAACCCGGGTTCGATTCCCAGCATCCCATATGGTCCCCTGAGCACCGCCAGGAGTAACTCCTGAGTGCAGAGCCACGAGGAACCCCTGTGCATCGCCAGGTGTGACCCCAAAAGCAAAAATAAATAAATAAATAAATAAATGAGCGAATTTCTCCTGAACCGGGGAAATTAGCTACAAAGACAGTATTTTTTCAGATAGATCAAGGGTGGTGGGCCCAAACCTTCGTAATAGCCGAGATGTCCTCATTCCCCAGGGACCACCCTTGGTTCTCTTGGGGGCTACAATTTCCAACATGAGATTTCCAGAACTTTTTCCACTCGAGACCCCTAGGATTCATTCCGCATCTGAGCGTGACTCCGTTTTGGTCACACTGCATATTCAGAGACTTTACTGTTGCCAGATTTTTTTCATGGCCTCTGCGGTCCCTTCCGTGACCCTTGGTGGGGTCCTGAGCCGCCGCTGAAGAAGCTCGGGTTCGGAGTAGTGAGGTTACCACTTCAAAGATGCTAACTGGGCGCGGGGGGCGGGGGGCTAGGACAATGGTTCAAAAGATGCTAAACAGAACAAAGGTTTATTTAATTTTTGTTTCGGTGCCACACCCAGCGGTGCTCAAGGGTTATTCCTGCTCAAGAATTACTGCTGGTGGCCTTGGGAGACCATGCGGGGTGCTGAGGCTTGAACACAGTCACCCAGTTAGCCGTGGGCAAGGCCAACACCCTACCCACTGTGCTGTTCCTCAGGCCCCTGGAACGCAGGG